TGACGTTGTCAAGGACTTCATTCTTATTGAATCAACTATGAACACTCACCGAAGCAGCAGTCAAGAGATCAAGTGACGTATTGCATTAGGCAAATCTGCTGCACAAGACCTTTTTAAAGTGTTGAAAAGCAAAGATGTCAGCTTGAGGACTAAGGTACTCCTGACCCAAGCCATGGTATTTTCAATAACCTCATATGCATGCGAAAGCTTGCCAGTGAGTACGGAAGACCGTAGAAGAATTGATGCTTTTGAGTTACGGTATTGGAGGAGAATATTGAAAATGCCACAGGCTGCCAAAAGAACCAAAAGATCTGTGAGGGACCAGTCGCTGAAGAAGGATATCATGTTTGGTAAGGCAGAGGGTTAGAGAAAAAGAGGAAGACCCCCAGCAAGATGGATTCGCAAAGTGGCAGCATCAATGGACTCAAGTGCGGTAACAATAGTGAGGTTGGCCCAGGATTGGGCAGTGTTTTGTTCTGCTGTGCCGACTGACTTGATAGCAACTAGCAACAGCAACAACAACCCACATACAACCCCTTCCTGACAATTACTGGGCAATAATTTATCCAATCATTCCTTTATCAAACAAATAATCCTGCGGAAATTGTCCTTCTTCTTTCCAAGGAAGCTCACAGCAAAGTATCATCCTTTAAGCTAGGTTTCTGGTACAATGTAATTCTTCTCTCTCTGCGCACCCAATTCCTTTACATTCCTTACCTCTCGTTTTGTCAATGTACGTTTTAATGTGTGTAGCATGCATTTTCCTACAGTTAGCTAAGGTGGCCGCTTTCTAAACAGCTGCCCTAGAACATCAGTGTTGATTGGTGAGGAAGTCTGAGACCAAGAATGGGTGGAAGAGAGACACCAGAAATCCTCATACAACCCCCACCATCCCTACCCTCCACCAAAGGCCTCAGGTAGGTGTCCAAGGCCAGGTGTCTGCTCACTTACTCAGCCTCCTCCATGGCCACGGGGCATTTGTACTGGGCTGTGTTGAAAAGGCAGATGTCCGCATACTGGCGCACTGTGGTGAAGAGGTAAACAGGTGTTATGCACTTGGGTGCACCTCCCAGAGGTATCCCAAATTCCCCTACTTGGGGATGTTCAGCCCCAGCCAATGGTCAGAATTCACTGGGGTTTCTGGGGGAAACGTCCCCTATTCCTTACCCGAAGGACAACCTCACACACCTACCCCCTTCCATTACCAAAAGGACAGCTCTGTGCTGAACCCAGGACAGCTATGAGAAGAGGTTGCTTACCTAGTCAATAAACCACCTGTGTTATTACCTCAGAAGTCTGACTCTGGGGCTCAGAGAAAGCTCTGGGCATAACCCTGGGCCCGTAGCTATTTACAAGGCTATTAAAAAGAGGTCCCTCCACCACCCCAACCTTGGGATGATTCCCTGGGGTACCCGATATCTTGATCTTCTTCACTGTCTTGTTGGTGTTGTTGGTGACATGAACATTAACACTGATGGGCTCTCCATGGTAATAAATCTGGGAGGCAGAAGAAAGCAGAAGGGTTGGATGCAGGACATCAAAGTTCTAGACAAAAGGAAGGGAGAAAAGGCCCCACAAAAGCTTCCTGGGGTTTCCCAAACCTTGGTTATTCTATCATTTGCTCTAAGTTCACCAGCTACTTCCCACCACTGCCAGGTGACACTAAAGTCACCAAGCACATCAGACTTAGTTCTCTGAATGAGGAAGTGACACTTGTGGATCTCAGTACTGGCTTGGTCACCAGTTATAATGATAACAAAAACACTAACAATAAAGATGGCGACAGTGAAGCAGTGGCCTTGCACAGGTTCCCTAAACCTCGGTTTCCCTTCTGTCCAGTCCGTGAAGGGGCTGGGCAAGGTGATGTCTCAAGCCCCGTTGACTCTGATGACCTGGGGTTTTAGACACTAGAAGGATCTGCAAGAAACAGTGCTGCTGTTGTTATGTGCCGTGGAGTCGGTTCCGACTCATAGCGACCCTGTACAGGCTTTCCGAGGCTGTGAATCTTTACAGGAGCAGAAAACCTCATCTGTCTCCCATGGAATAGCTGGTAGTTTCGAACTGCTGACCTTGTGGTTCACAGCCTGATTCGTAACCACTACGCTACCAGAGACAGTGAGAAGGTGGAAAAAAGGCTCACAGAAGATTCAGCTCTGACTCTTCACCTCTGGTTTTGCCCCCAGGCACTTGCCTTCAACTGTTTCCCAAGAAGGGGAGACTCTGCCCGGTCCCACCCCTTGAATAAGGAAAGCTTCAGCTAACAGCAGCTATCAGGCAGCTGGTTTTGATTAAAAGCCTGAGGGAACATATACTGGTGGTTCCTTCAGGAGGGACAGCTCTGGCTTGGCATTGTTATCACATGTGGTCAGGGTGTCCCTTTGCCTGAGCTGGCCAGTCATCTCACAATACTCAGCCCCAGGCAGGCAGTGGAGGAGATGGGCAGACCTCCAGGAATCTTTTGGAGGGTGCACTGTTCCCTTGGCATCGTCAGGCCTCAGAGTCTCCTCCAAACACCCTGAAAAGAGATCTGATTCCCTAACTAAGCCCATGGTCCTAGGGCTGGTGTCAAAAGCTCCTACTGAGGTGTCTCCAGAGACCACCAAGAGCTAAGGTCTGAGTCCAGGCCATGGAAGAACAAGTCCCACCCTTGCCACGACTGAGCCTCCTACCTCTTTATCCAGAGAGGCCTCTAGGTGCAAGGGCTTGTCCGACATGAGGAACTGCCTCGTAGTCTCGGCTGTGGGCTGGGGGCCAGGCCTCTCGGGGGCATACTGAACCTTCCGGATGACCAGACGCACAGAATTCCTAAGGGAGTGAAAGATGACCAGTCACCTGCCTCCATCCCCATTCCTTGGATCCTTACCTCCCTCACCTGCTCAAGAAACTGCCATGACTCCCCGTTGCCTTAAAATCCATCACGAACTGCAACAGTTGGACTACAATTGTTCCATTGACACTGAAGTTAGGGTGGTTCTCTCAGTGTTACCGCCCTATACTTCTCTGGTTAGGTCCTAATTCACGACCATAGCCCCCTTCCTTTTTCTTGTCTCAGGACTTAAGAGGAGAAGGTGTACAGAAAAGGAGGGGACAAGGGATCCATCACCGCACAGACATTAGTGGTTCAAGCTGGAGATGCCTGCAATACAATCTCTAACCACCAGGTGGCAAACTTAGTCCATTGCCTAAAGAGGGCATTTAGGAACTGGGGTGCCGGGTATATCAGAGTTGGAGACTGAGGCCAGTCAAGTCAGAAGGGAAGGTGAGGCCTGACCCCAGGTGGGACAGGCATGAGCGTGGAGCTGGGAAACCTCCCAGAAGTCAGGGCCAGCTGTTTCACTGTTTAACCATTTGAACAATTTGGATTTCTTTTGTTGTTGTTTTATAAAACAAAATAGAAAGGTGTGCAGACTTGAGGGACGTGATGGAGGCATCTGATCAGTGGTACAAAGGAAAAGACACTGAGACCTGAGCCAGGGCAGTTGAGACCACCTTCTCCAGGAAGCCCTCCATGACCTGCCAGCCTTCCAGAGTGCCCTACTCAGAGTTCCCAAGGCTGGAATGTCTGTCACTCCTCACACACTTCCAAGTATTGTTACATATCTCTTCTGCATGCCCACCCTGCCTCCCTCCCTCAGATGGAAGCTGCATTCTGCTCACCGCTTGTGGATCTTCTCTTCCAGGTTCTCCGCACAGAAGGCTTTGACCTCATAGTCCACACCGCAGGCCTATGGGGAAAAAGTCACTGAGCACAGGACCTGAGAGAGGGCAAGGACCCCTGGGCCCAGTTAGGCCACCTTCTCACTTTACAAACCAAAATGCTGAACAAGAACACTGACCTCCCATGGCCTGCCTCTCCTTGGTCTGACCTTTATAAGGCCCTTGAGCTCAGCCTCTCCCAACTGCCCCCAGTATACTATACCCCAACCATCGCCAAGTGTGCTCTGCTCGTCCGACTCCATAACTGACAGCAGCAGGTACAGTGGGCAGAGCCTGCTTTGAAGGGATCTAAACGTCTTATGCAGCCCACTCAACAACACCCACTGTCTCCATGTTGCAGGTGAGGAATGAGGCTCAGAGCTCTGGGGCCTGGATCTGAGCACACTCCCCCACTCTAATGGGGCGGCATCACTCTGAGTCTTGCTGTTGGTCACACTTCCACACCTGCACAGGGTTGTCGGGTGAGCTATGTGAGACCAGGTCCTCAGAACACATTGGTTCTGTTGCAACCCACACAAGTGACTCAGGAGGGTCTCAGGACCTGTCACTGAATGGGGGAATGAGAGCTGATTGCATGTCTTTCACTGTGTCTCAAAGGAGACTGGTTTCTCAAAGCAGGGATCATCAGTCTGGCCTCAAGGAGATCTCTGGGAGCATGGGCCTAGGAGAAAGCTAGGGAAAGACCTGGAGACATGAGTGTCCTGTGCCCAGAGAGATGTCCCCTTGGGCTGACCCACCTTCCCAGTGTCTTCAGGCCCTGGTTGCAGTGTCACAGAGCATGGGAGGTTCGGAGGGATCTGTTGGAAAAGCACAAAGAATGAGGCACCTGTCCCCTCTGAGCACCTTTCTCCCACCAGTGATCTGGGCTCAGGAGGGTCCAGGGAGCAGCTTCTGGCAGAGGCCAGAGAAAAGACACTCACCAGATGGGAAACTGGGGGACACCGAGCTGCTGGCCACTTGCCCCCATGTGCCCACCTAGAGGTGGAGCTTCTGCAATGGGGCCCCAGGGGATAACAGGCCCTGACCTCAAAGGTGAAAGGGTAGGCATGCTCGCCCAGCTTCTTGATGAGACGTTCCTGCAGCCGCGTCAGGGGCTTCTTGTCTTTAGGGGCCGGTGGGAAGGACTGCACATTGGCCACAAACAGGTCCTTGCGGAAGGTCAGGCCCAGGACATCCAGGTCCTCCCGGCCATAGCGGAAGGCGCAGGTCAGTGTCACATAAACTGTGGGGAATAGGTGGCACTGAGGAGAAGATTGGGAGAACACCAGCCACAGCCAGCCCAAAGTTCCTGTCAGGAGGGCTGTGTGACATCAGTGTTGGGGTGCCTGCCCCCAGTGAGGAGGAGGAAGTGGGGCTGACTGATAGGCCCATTCTGTCCTCCACCTTCCTCTTGAGTCCAGGAATGTGTGAAGGGGTACAGGACCTGGTCCCGTAGGATTGGGGTGGGGCCTGAGTGAGGAGCAATGTTGGAAGAGCTGAGGGTGGTGTCTGGAAGACACGAGAGCTCAGCCCAGCCCAGCCCATGTCTTCTTGCAGACCTTGCATGATCCCTTCACTTCCCTGGTATCAATTTTCTTTGCTGTAAAATGAGACACTTCCACTCCTGCCATTAGCATCATCAGTCCCTGGGCAATTACGGTACATGGATGATAAAGGGTCATTAGAAGGTTCTCCCAAAGTGTGTGTGGTGGAGGCTGTCCTGGTCTGAGGGGTTTATTGAGGACTGTCTGGGACAGTCAAGAGGAAATGGCAGGGAGAGGCACTAGATTAGCTGATGTCCTGCCCAGGAGTGGAAAAGGCTGTGGTCCTGGACTGGAAGTCAATATGGGAAGTAGGGGAGGTCCCTTTTCCTCCCAGGGGTGGGGCACAGCCTCACCTCTCCTCTCCTTGAGATACTCAGGATCCACCAGAACCACACCATCTGAAAGAAGGACTTAGAGTGAGCACACCCTCCCAACTTGACCCTGAAGCATCCCTAAATCCCCTGAGTCCCAAACACCAATCCAAACCCAATGGTCCATCTGTCGAAACACGTCATGAAAGAAATGGGAAGTCCAGCATCTGAAGCTGGTACCGTCCACCTACTTCCCAATTTCATCTTCACTACACCCCCAGCCCCACCACATGTGGGCTTTGCAGCTAGGATGACTGAGCTGCAGACCTTGACTTTTAAAGGACCACGGAGTGCAGGATTAAAAGCCTGGCCCCTGAACCAGACAGCCTGGGTTTAAACCCTTCCTCTCCTACCGCCCAACTGGTAACTCTGGGAAGGTTACTTAACTTCTCTGTTTCTTCATCTATTAATATGAGTAACAAGGGTCTAAAACTCCTCGGACAGGTATTCTTTGAAATTTAGAACTTTTGAACTATATATAGATAGATAATATGGTGTATCTTTCAAATATTCTGTAATGCCCTTTACAGCACTCGGGGTAGTACCTATGATAAAACCCACAAATACTTCTGTAGGGAAACATGAATATTCTCACCAAGGGGGTACCAAAAATATATGTAGATGTTGTTTTTAAGTGCCATCGAGTAGGTTCCAACTCACAGCAACCCTGTATAGCATAGGGTTTCTGAAGCTTTAAATTTTGCAGGGGTAGGAAGCCTCATCTTTCTTCTGTGGAGTGACTGGTGGATTCAAACTGCCATCCTTGTGGTTCAAAGTCTAGATACACACACGCAAAACCCAGTTTTCATCGAGTCGACTCCGAACTCTAGGTTAACTCATAAGTCAGAGTAGAATGTGCTCCATAGGATTTTCAGGGACTGATTTTTTCTGAGTTAGACTGCCTGGTCTTTATTCTGAGGCATCTCTGGCTGGACTTGAACCACCAACATTTTAGTTAACAGTCAAGCATGTTTACTGTTTGTATCATCCAAGGATTCCACTGTCTCATATGAGTTTAGATCAGGTTTTGTCACCAAGTAAATTTTGCACCAAACTTATGAACAATTTTAGAGTTTGGTGCTTTCTGGATTTGGGATTTGCCAATTGGGGGTTATTGTCCTGTAGTTGGCTCACCGGCTTCTGTAGGAGTGAATGAGTTAATATATGTGGAGTGCTTAGAAGGTGCCTGGCATAGGCAATCACTACAGAGAGTGAGGGCGTGCCTTCATGACCCAAGACTGCCCTAGAGAGCATAGATACTTTGAATTAGGAAAAGATCTTGGGAGGTGTCTTCAGTCTCTGTTAGGACCACCACACAGGTGAAGATAGACCCCATTTCACATGCCTCGGGAAGGGTTTCCATCTCCCATTCCTGTGCCTCCCAGCGTCTGCCATCAGGACGCAGCAGAAAAAAAGGGGTGTGTGGAGCCAGATTGCTACCTACTAGCTCTGTGTGCCTCATTCTTCTGTCTGTAAACAGATAAGACAGTAGCTACCCTGAGGCTCTGGGACATCATGCTCTGTTGTTAGTGCTATGATAACTAATCTTACATGTCATCTTCACTAGGTTATGATGTTGACAGTTTGGCAGGTACTAAGCCAGTTCCTGTTCAGTAATGTAATGTACTCATAGCTACACTATATAGGGTTTCCAAAAAGTGGCTGGTAGGTTTGAACTGGCAACCTTACAAATAGCAGTCCAGTGCTTATCCTATAGCACCACACCAGGCCTCCTACTATAATGTTGTTGTTAAGTGCTGTCCAGTCAATTCCAACTCATAGCAACCCTGTATCGGTATCGGGTTTCCACGGCTTTACTTCACAGGAGCAGAAAGCCTCATCTTGCTCTGGTGCAGCGGCTGACAGACTCCAACCTCAGACCTTGTGGTTCGCAGTCCAGTGCTTACCTGCAGATGTGCACCTTGCCAGACCCCACAATTGCATAAATCATTTCTTGTAAGTAAATCTTTCTCCATATATTTATACAAGGGTTTTTCAAAAAGTTCCTGTGAAAATTCCATTATGTTTTCATTCCATTTTTTCAGGAACTTTTTGGAGTCCCCTTGTGGATAGATGTTGTTTGTTGTTAAGTGCCGTCGAGTCGGTTCCGACCCATAGCGACCCTGTACAGGGTTTCCGAGGGTGTAAATCTTTACGGGAGTAGAAAGCCTTATGTTTCTCCCGCGGAGCAGCTGGTAGTTTCGAACCGCTGACCTTAAGGTTCGCAGCCCGATTCGTAACCACTACGCTACCAGATAGATAGACAGACGTAAATATATGTTGTTGTTGTTAAGTGCCATCGAGTCAGATCTGACTCATAGCTTCCCGGTATGGGGTTTCTGAAGAGCGGCTGGTGGGCTTGAACTACTAACCTTGTGGTTTGCAGTTCAGTGCTGATCCTATAGCACTACACCACGATCCCATATATGTGTGTGTGCTGTTGTCGCTATTGTTTTTGTCAAGTACAATCAAGTCAATCCTAACACATATCGATCCTATGTACAACAGAATGAAACACTGCTCCGTCCTCTGCCACCTTTACAATTGTCATATTTGAGCCCATTGCTGCAGCCACTGTGTCAACCCATCTCATTGAGGGTGTTCCTCTTTGTTGACGATCCTCCACTTTACCAAACATGATGTCCTTATCTAGGACTCGTCTGTCCTGATAACATGTCCAAAGTACATAAGGCGAAGTCTCGCCATTGTCGCTTCTAAGGAGTACTCTGGTTGTACTTCTGCCAACACAGATGTTGTTTGTCCTGTGACAGTCCATGGGATACTCAGTGCTATATGGATACACTTCACTGGCTTTGCTCCCCTAGAAAATTCAACTAAGACTGTTGCTGTCCAGTCATTTCTGACTCACGGCAACCCCAGGTGTGCAGAGCAGAACTGCTCTATAGGGTGTTTGAGACTATGACCTTCAGAAGCAAATCACCAAGCCTGCCTTCTGAGGCCCCACTTGGTGGATTCGAACTACCAAACTTGTGGCTACTAGTTGAGCACTTAACCCTTTGGGACACCCAGGGGCTCCCTGGTCTTACGATAAGTGATGGCATGTCATTGTCACTGTCATAACCATCTAGAGTCTTCCCTGTTTCTAGCCACAATCCTTCTGACAATTTCTCATCCACCATCCTCAGTTGATGGTAAATAACTGCTCAGTAAATGCTTGCTGAATGAAGCCAGAAGTTATCCAGGTTCCATTCTTAGAGACCTGAGGGCCATTCCTGGGCAGCTTCAACATGCCTTTCTGTGCAAGAGACCAGGCTAGCCCTGCCTCCCACTCCTTCCTCCCTCCCCTGCAAGGACTCACCCACTGGGTCCACGAGGTCAATATGGTCCACAAAGTCCCGCTTTCCCAGATAGACGGTGAGCTGGAAAGGAGAGGCACGGGGGTGTTAGCAACTGAAGCCTGGGAGACGATCTCTGAGAAGCCTGCAAGCTGTCCCTAAAATGCCGAGACTCTTAACCAAATCTTGATCTGAACTTGATACAGCCGTAATACCAAGAATAACAAGCCCTTGTAAAAATGTAAAAGCACCTGTCACAAAACAGTATGAAGGAGTTGTTGTTAAGTGCCATTGAGTTGGTTCCAACTCACAGCTACCCTGTACAGGGTTTTCGAGGAGTGGCGATGGACTTAAACTGACGACCTTGTGGTTCACAGTCCAGTGCTGATCCTATAACGTCATATCAGCATTCCAGATGAAGGACTTACTATTTCCATTTTACAGATGATGACATGGAGGCTCAGGGCACTGAAGAAAAAGCGCTACTGAGTAGAGTAGCAGAAGCAAAGAAATGAGCTGAACAGGAATGCTTAGCGTGACGTCAAGAGTGGGGGAGATATACCAGGCCAGATACACTGAGAACTCTGGCTGTTCTGAACTCTGGGCTCTGTGCTCAGCGAGTCCTTGTCCCCCATGGAGTGTGGCACTTATACGAGAAGGTCCTGAGGACCTGCGACTCCAACAATCCCTAAATCCTGATGACTCTAACCCACGTCATATTCAACTCCACCATGCCTCTTAATCCCCACAGCTACTCTTGACTGGACTACTGTACCGGCCCGCTCCACAGTCTGCTGTCTTGTAGCCTCACCCATGCTGGACCAGTCTCTCCTCTTTTCACCCTGGTCATCCTTGAAAACGCAAATTTAACCATGCTGCTCCCCTCTGAAAACTTTCAAATGGTTCCTCAGTGCCCAGAGGTAAGGATGACAAATGGGATTCATTCCCAAGTGCCAGCTCTGATCGATTGGTAGGGGCTGCCTGGAGTCTTGGGTTGAGAAGGAAACTAAGGTAGAATCCAGCTGGGCAAGAAAGCATGTCATGGCTGGCTGATTGGTGATGTCTGCTGTGGGCACAGAAGGGGGATGTAGAAGCAAATGAGGTGCTGTTTGCCAACCCAAGCCAGGAGTCTAAGCTCCTAAGCTCCTCCACAGGACTCCCCATGAGTCCTGCAACCTCCCTAGCTCAGGTCTCACTGCCTTCTGCCTCCCTCTGGGCACTCTGAGACTGAACTGTCTGTGATTACCCCACACTCACTGTGATTTGGGGTTCATACATTGGTGTTGTTGTTGGGTACCATCAAGTTGATTCAGACTCATAACAACACCATGTGATAGAATAGGACCATCCCATCATTTTCTTGACTGTAATCTTTTAAAAAGGAAGATTACTGGGGTTTTTAGCCACAGAGCTGCTGGCTGGGTTTGAACTGGCAGTCTTTTGATGAACAGGTAAGCACTTAACCAATGTACCACCAGGGCTTCTTAATGCCCTTTTTCACCCTGCCTTGCCTGGAAATGCTCTTCCTGACCAGGCTGGACCAGGGTCCTTCCTTTGCTCACACAGCACCTGACACCCCTTTATGTTGAAATGATCCCTGTCTATGCTGTCCCCCATTGACACAGAATGGCAGGGCGGTGCCTTATTTATCTCAGTACACTCTATCCACAATCCCCACTGGGCTTGGCCCAGACCTGGCATGGAATGATGTCAGTAGTGCCTATTTGTTCAAATGAGAGGAAAGCAGGGAGGAGTCAGGGCCTGTGAAAAGAAAGAACGGGAAGCAGACACAGGGAAACAGCCCTGGATAAGTAGTGCAAGAGACTCACGGGGCAGCTGACACCAGGGCTATCAGTGCCCCAAAGGCCCCCAGCTATTACTGGATTTATTACACTCACGTTTATCTCCCTACGAGAAAAGGTCAGGTCAGGTGGTCGCCCCTACACCACAGCAGGGCTTCCTGAGTCCACACAGTTTCCTGAGGTGGCTCTCTCCCTCCTCTACTGAGACCTCCTGAGACCAGAACTGTAGTCCTCCTCAGACTGGGGGCTGTGTCTCCACCTTCCCATGCAAGTACTCAGTAACTGTTGACAAGTTGGTTCTCGACTCTTGGGGACCAGATAGGACAGAGTAGAACTGCTCCATAGGGTTCCCAAGGCTGTAATCTTTATGGAAGCAGACTGCCACATCACTCTCCTGTGGAGTGGCTGGTGGGTTTGAACTGCCAGTCTTTCAGTTAGCAGTTGAGTGCTTAACCACTGCATCACCAGGTGGTCAGTAGAGATGCATTTCCTTAGTTGTCCCAAGAGTGGAAACAAGAGCTTGGGGTCAGGATGGGACTGGAGTCCAGCTCTTTCACACTCACCTTTCCATTTGGGCTCGCCTTCTTGAACACTCTGGAGAGAAAGGGAGAAAGGAAGGCCAAGTTAGCACATCCTGCCTGGGTCAGGGGTGGGGGTGGGGGAGGAAGGAGAGGGTTCCTGCAGGCCACCCTGAAGCAGGTCAGAGGACCAGGGGCCATGGGACCCAGGCTGAATCTCCAGCTCCACCTCTAGTGGCCCAGGCCCCATCACCACTCTTCCATGCTATGGCAACAGTGTCTCCTGTAGTCTGTTAACACAGCAGCTTCAAAAGCCGAATTCCTAAACCCGCCCAGTTTGCCCAGATGAAAAGTCTCCTTTTGGTGGCATCACCTCCTAGTATTTCTCCCTCAGTCTTTCCAGTCACATCAGCCCCAGTGCTGTTCCTCAAACACACCAGGGCAGTTTCGGCCTCAGGTCTAACATACAGTTCCCTCTGCCTGGGACACTCTTCCCCCAAATTATCTGCTTGCCCCACCCTATTGCCCTGTGTGAGACTACAGCCTGTTCCTCAGCCAGCGCTTGTTGGCACTCTCATGCTCTTGCTCGAGGACAGAGTAGAGCAGCCCTCCTAGGGCTTCCAAGGCCATAAGCCTTTACTAAGTCTTCCACAGAGCGGCTGGCGGATTCAAACAGTAGCAGCCCAGCACTTAGCAGCTGTGTCACCAGAGCTCCTAACACCAGGGGCAAGAGGAAGAAGGGCAGATTGGGACATAGGCCCTGAGGTGAGAAAATGAAAGATGGAATGACAGATGGAAACAGCAACACAGAGAGGGAGAGAGAAACAGCTACAAGCAGAGCAGTGGAGCAGACACAGAAAGATGTAGCAGGCTAAGAAGGAGCCACGGCGCCCAGAGCCTTCCCCAGGAGGTCAGCAGGCATCCAGGTGGGCAAGACATGGGGGGCGGGGGGCACAGCATGGTGGTGACTCTGTACTACTGCCCCAGCCCCCACACTGTCCACCTCTACCCCTTCTGGGGCCCCAAGGGACCACTGATGGGCCTGAGCTTTGCTGGCAAAGAAAGGCCTGGCACATCCCTCCCCCACATTCCCCAGGAGCCCTGCGTTCTTCTCATAAATATTTATCAGTGTTTGGAGTGTGAAGATGCCACAGTCAGCTGAAGTGTGATCACTGCTAAAATGAGAAAAAATAGAGATCACACGGTTTGAACCCACTGGGGCTGGACCCACAGAAGAAACAGAAGAAGTATCACAGACCACAAAGACCCCAGCTGTTTCCAGAAGCCATGTCCCCACCACCACCAGGAGTCCTGGGTTTGAGGGAAAGGAGCAGACCTCCTGGGCTGCCACAAATAACCTAGCCAGAGAAAACCATTCCAGGGACCCATGAGAAAGGCAAGAGGTACCCTAGCCACAGGATGAGGCTGGGGGCCAGGCTGGGAGGAGTGATAATCAAGAAGGGAGGATGGAAGAAGGAACTAGCAGGGGTTGAATGCCTAATTATTCTCACAACAGCACTTTAAGGTGGCCATTATAACCCTTATTGATAATTCACTCAAGGCTCAGAGAGAGGCGGTGATTTGCCCAGGAACACACAGCAATTGAGAGGCTAAGGTTAAAAATCAGCTCCAATTCTGTCTGCTAGTCTCCAGAAGCTGTGTGTTTTCCATCCAACTCCACTGTTTTCGTAAAGGCAATAGCGACAACGAGGGGAAACAGGAACAGAAGAGGGGAAGGCAGAAAGAGGAGATGAAAGGCAGAGTGCATGGGATGAGTGAATGAAGAAGACTAAGGGTGAAAGAAGCAGGAAACAGGGTTACTGGTGAGGGTGGCACCTGGAACCACCTCCTTCGGGATGTTGATGACTTCCTTAAACAACGACAGCATCTGTGTTTTCTGAGAGCATGTTATACCCTCGTCAGGTCTCTATGTAATTTTCTCAGAATACTGCTGATCCTTGCAACAACCCATTTCAGAGGTGAAAAAACTGAGGCTCAGGAAAGCAAACTGGGGTCACCTGTCTCCAGAACTTACATCCTTTCCACTTTGTCACAAAGCCAAGCCCCTCCCTGAAACAACTCCTCTGGCTTCCCAAACTCAATACTGTCAGAAAAAAGACGCCTGTGGGGGCGTTTCTAGTTTACCTCCCATGAACAGCACCACAGAGATGGCCCCCGTGGCTTCTGCCCATCCACTCTGAAGAGCAAGAACAAACGCACAGGACTCGTGGTCAAACCCAAACTTTCCGATTGTGGGAAGGGTTAGCTTTGACTTCTTTCCTAATCCTGTCCGTACCCTGCAAAGCTGATCCTCAGAGACAAGACTGGGTTCCCACAAAAGAAATACCAATGTTGTCCTAGCTGCTTAACACTCACTGTCAACAAGGAGCCCTACCCTGGCTATCTCAAGAAAAGGGGTGGGGTACTGTAAGGAGGCAAAAATCTCACGGGAAGGATGCGCAGGCAGGACGCACGGGGGCTGGAGTCAGGAACGGGGAAGCCATCAGATTCTTAGGCGGTTGCTCTCTCTCTCCACCTCTCCCTTTGGAGCTGCATGTTCTCCCTGCTGCTCTGCTCTCTGTGAGGCTGCTCCATTCTCTCTGTGGACCAGTCCTCCCTACTTACGCAGGCCTATTCTGCTCCTCCATCCTTTTGGCTTGCATGTGACTGTCACTCCAACTCTGTTTCTACTCTGTCTCTCTCTCTCTCTCTCTCTCAACTTCCCACTGCTTAACTGGTTGAATGGCCCAATTCCAAATTCCCAGGAAAGGATTTTGATTGGACAGCTTTAATCAGGTGTCCCACCTCTAGGCCAATCAACTGTGTATAGGGTGTGTTGTATGGTCCTTGAGGCATAAGCAGAAGATGGTCTCTAAAGCAGTGTTTTCCAAACCAGGAGTCACAACCTATAAGTAATTTTTAACAGAATAAAATAGAATAGGAAATATAAGTGTGCATTCCATGTAGCAAGAGTGTAGCAGATATTTACTACATTCATCAATATGCAGTTTTCTTCTAAGGCTAGGCATATGGGAGGATCAGTCTTCTCCAGTCTGAAGTTTGAGTGTCCATGTCACTTGTTCCAGCCAATGCAATATGAGCGGAGGTACCACGTGTCACTTCCAGGCAGAAACATATAAGGGCTGGTGCATAATACTCCATGTCATTTGTATTCATTTTCTTTGGTTGCTATCACAAACTTAGTGACTTTACGCACTTATTATTTGGAGAGGAAAGAGAGTCAGCAAGTGAAGTCATGGTGAGAACAGCCATGAGCTCATGGTTCATGAGGGAAGCCTGATCCTCCAACAGCTGGGGGCCAGATTGGATAGCCTTGTTCTGCCCAGGTTGGGTCAGGACTAAGTAAAAAATTATGGTTTCAGCCTGGAGTTCAGGCAACTAGATACCCACTAATTGATATGTTACTATCAAGTCAGTTCCGACTCATAGCCACCCTGTATTGGGTTTCCTAGTGGGTTTGAACTGCCACATGCCTATCCGACAGTGCCACCGGGACTCCCAGGAATTCCATTCCCAGATATCTAGTCGAGAGGACCGATGTAGGGGAACAGGCTTTTTTGCAAAGCCAAATGTGGCTACATTCTTCTCACTAGTTTCATTCTACCTGCTAGCTAAGTCACTCTTATGTAACACTTGCTGGTGTGGTGTTGGAGATTCAGGGCTCTGGCAACATGCCACATTGGGTCACTAGACCCTACCACATTTCGATGGACCAGGAGCCTCAAGTCAACTGTGCTGCTGCCCAGGGACCAGCCTTGGTTGGCAGTTCAAACTCACCAGCTGCTCTTCAGAAACCTTATAGAGAGTCACTATGAGTCGGAACTGATTCAACCAACCACACTCAACTTCCTTGATCTCATGGAACGTCAGGCACATTTCAAGTTACTGGTCCATGCCCAGACAATTGAAAACATATAAGGAGCTCTGGTAGCATAGTGGTTACGAATCGGGCTGCGAACCTTAAGGTCAGCGGTTCGAAACTACCAGCTGCACCGCGGGAGAAAGATGAGGCTTTCTACTCCCGTAAAGATTTACACCCTCGGAAACCCTGTACAGGGTCGCTATGGGTCGGAACCGACTCGATGGCATACAACAACAACAACAAAATCCACACAAAAACTTCTGCACAAAAACTTCCGTTCATAGCAGCATTACTCATAACAGTCCCCTTCCCACTAAAAATAATCTAAATGTCCATCAACTGATAAATGTCTCTTTTAAATGGTATATGTATACAATGGAATTATTATTCAGCACAAAAAGCACTTAAGTGTGAGTTTTATAGCATGGATGAACCTTGAAAACACGATGCTAAGTGAAAGAAGCCAGATAGATACAAAAGGCCACATACTGTAAAATTCAATTTATACAAAATGGTCAGGATAGGTCAAATTCCTAGAACAAGAATGGAGACTAGTTGCCAGGAGCTGAGGGAAGAAGAAGCTGGAGAGTGGCAGTTAATGGGATTGGAGTTTCTTTTGGGGATGATAAAAGTGCTCTGGAATTACCGTATTTTCTCATATAGTGCACCCCTAGAAATAATGTGTGCACACATAGAACTTGAGTAGTATGCATAAGAAACACGCATGTGAGTGTGTTGCATGGTTTGCAAGAACCACATAACATGCTCATGATTTGTATAAAAATATGGCAGATTGTGATCGTTGCACAACTTTGTGAATATCACTAATGCCACTGAATTGGATACTTGAAAAGAGTGAATTTTATGAGCAAAAAAATTACACCCCAATTTTTTTTAAGTAAAATAACTTTAAAAAGAGAGGATTAATTAAAGGAAAGAAAATGTGCCTAAAAATGTTAACAGAGGTTGAGATGACCTCCACCCTCTTTGTAGCTCTTATTTTTACTGTGTTGTACAATAAGCAAGAATTATTATACAAATATTCTGGCATTTCCTAAACAAGACATGTCTCGTGTCTTTAGAGAAAAGGAGAGCCTGGAAAAACAAAACACACTGAAGTAAAGGAACTGCATCCCAAGATTCTGTATCCTCTGATGGGAGCATCTCTGGTCCTGTGATTGCACAATCCAGAG